TAAAACAGTTATTAAATATTGAACCATTTAAGCATCATAATTCAAGAAATAAAATGACTTTAAAATGCATCAAGAATACCAGACCAAGAAAGTTATGACTATTCAGCATGAAACTGTTCTCTACATTTTCTAATAGCTGATCCACTGGGTTATGTGACTATTAGAAGCAAAACTTTTCTCATAAAGTTTCTAGAACCCTTTCCTAATGAGAAATATATGTTCAATTTGAAATTTAAAGTATATATTCACATTAACAAATATTTTCTTTTTTTTTTAAAGTTAATAGCAGAGATTTTTTAACAGCATCTGCAAGCAGATGGGCTACAACTGAATATGGAAGATGGCGACAGCAATGAGTTAGAGTAAGAGGCCTCTTTTAAAGCAATTCAGGGTGTGGTACATGTGCAGCTCAGGCGGTGGAGGCATGTCAGTCATAGTTCTGTAACTCCAGGTGTGGTGCAAGAGATCAATAGGTCATCTACTGAAGCTTTTGTGAAAGGTTAGAGGGTTATCTGTTATAAATCTAGAAATCTTCTGTAACCTTCAAGGACTGTTTTAATAGAACCACAAAAGCAAGGAGAATTTTATTCTTTGCTTAATGAATGTCCAGACATAACCAGAGAAAGCCTAATAGCTCTAAAGCAATCAAAATAAAATTTAACTCAATGAGTGATAACACAAGTCAAACCATAAAATAAAGCTTGAGAGAAAAACATTTCAACTAATGTAAATATTTTATGATAAAGCTTACATGCCAAGAGATATCTTTCTAAAAAGAGAGGTTACTAAAACTGCATGATTGGTTCAATATAAGGAATTAAGAAATTAAAGCAGGTAACTACAGGGAAAGTAAATTACACTTCTTTTGTAAATAATCTATAATCAAAATTCATTAGATATCTACCTGAGGTCCAGTGCAAATTTTCATTACTCATCTATTATCAAAATGTCAATCTTGTCTGGGTCATATAACATCTTTCTAGAATCTGATACCCTATAAGGGTGAACTCTAAAATCAACAAAGTGATGTTCTAATATGGATCCAATCATCACTGAAGAAACCAAGATTACATACCAGGTAAATCACTTTTCCAAAGGATTATATTTAGAGCACTTCCTCAAAGTTATGAAATAGCATTATCACATTCTAGTTCTTCAATTTATGAAGTAACTTGATTATTTGCACAGAACTAGAAGAAATAAACTTTTAAAAGGCAAGAAAAACTTAACAAAATATTATAATAAAATAAATTAGGTAGCCTCTGCAACATAAAACACAAACTGTTTTCTAAAAATTTAACAAGATTGGCTAGACTTGGCAGTTAGACATCTTTTTTCACTAGAGGGTCACTTAATATGTATTATTGATAACCTACAAAAAACAAAAAGACAAGGATCTTTCCCTTTGAGGGAGTTCATACTGTCACTGGTAAGGAAATATACAAGAAACCATGTATTACCAACCTACATAGAAATTAATATAACATTTATATCTTACACTTAGGTGACAAAAGCAATGTAAACTGAGGTGTAATATGGAAATAGATAAGTATAAAAAGTCTTCTTGGAGTTGCTTAAAAATACTAATAAGGAAAAATAACCATCGACGCAAACAGAGAAAAGGAAAAGACACATAAAACACAACAAAAAAGGAATGACGGCAGACTTCTCATCCAAATTATATCAGCACGAAGTCAATGGAAAGATACCTTTAAAGTGCTGAAGGAGGAAGAAGGCACACAGAGTGATGTCTGGAAGGGTCCCAAGTGTAGGAGATTCTGTCCCCATGGAGCTGGAGGGTGCTTCCTTCCAGCTTGTAGATGTGTTTACCAATTCAGAAGCTCCCAAAGCCCAACATTTAGTGAGTTTTATGGAGGTTTCATTATGTACATAAAATCGATTAAATTATTGGCTGTCAGTGATTAATTTAATCTCTACTCCTCTCCCCTGAGGTTGGGGATCAGGGTTGAAAGTTACAAGCTTTTAATCAAGGCTTGATCTTTCTGGTGACTGGCCTCCACCCTAAAGCTATCTAGGGACCGCTAAGAGTCACCACATTAGAACAAAAGATGTTCCCATCACCCTTATTATTTAGAAAATTCCAAGAGCGCCAGAAACCATGAATAAAGACCAAATATCTTTCTTATTTTATCACAGTTTCATGGCTGTAATCTTAGCACTTTAGTATGTAGCAGCAGGAGGATCACTTGAGGCCATGAGTTCATGGCCAGCCCGAGCAATAGCAAGATGACAGCACTACAAGAAGTATAAAAGTTAACCAGATATTCTGGAATGCATCTGTAGTCCCAGGTACTCAGGAGACTGAGCCAGGATGATTTCTTGAACCTAGGAATTTGATGTTGCAATAGGGTATGATAACCCCACTGCACTCTACCCTGGGTGACAGAAGAGACTGTGCCTCAAAAAAAAAAGCATAAATTACATTTGCCATTAAAACAATTATGTTTCCATATGTCATGTAGCCTCTGAGAAACAAATATTTTCAAAGATATAAAATGTAGTTGAATCTATCCTTAGATGCTTCAACTTCCATATGAAATGTCAACTGATTTAGAAACCAACTATCTTTCTACATTTTATATATATCTACATATCTATGTGTGTATACATGTGTCTATTTGCAAAAAATGTTTGGTCTTATTCTCAAAAGAGCTTAAGTTTGTTCATATGAATATGCAAAATTACAAAACACCACAATTTTTTCATAGATAATAAATCAAGAAGAAACCACCAGTTTATTTGGAACATGAAGACTAAGGTCAGAGCCCAAGGGAAAAAAAAAATCAAAAGAAAGGAAAGAATGACAAACAGGAAAAAAAGACTTCCTTCCTTCTTTCAAAAAAAGGAAGAACGAAAACATATGAAAAATTTATTATTTGTAATTTGGAATTGCCTGTATATGTAAATCTTTGGGTCTGTTTGCAAATAATATATTTCCATTAGTCGACATAGAAATAACCATGTTTAATGTAAAAACAATTCATAGATTTTCCAGCACAGATAAGTGCTGACAGTCCAGATTAGCTCTTTCAACAACTTGAAAGTCTCCCCAGAGTCTTGTGAATGAGAAGCATATTAATATCAGCTGTGACCACTCAGCACGGTGACATGAAGTGTCTGTTCAGGAGGTCATCCCCAAAATATATCCCATACATCTTCATGCACAAGCAATGATAATTTATCACCTGGACATAGGGATCTACTGTAAACTAATCCAAACTGCTGATGATACACTAAATCAATTTGAGTGATGAGTATAAATAAAGCTGCAAGCAAAGTACTGAAGGATACAGATCTATCTGATCAATGAGATGTCACAAGGCAAATGAAATGCAATGTTTACAAACATAGCATCCCTCAGTTGAAAATTAACTAAATCAAGCATCAGAACATAAAGGCACACATTAATACAAGTTTCCAATGAAGGTTTAATATAATGAGAGTCAGAGGGTATATTCAAATTGCTTCAGATAAAACTAAACAGATTGGCTTGGTGAAAAAGAACATATTAAAAATTGATATATTTTGCACACCATAGAATCTACGACAGGATAAAGAAAAATGTTGCAAAACAATAATCCTTTCCAAATAATATAGCTATAGTTATTCAATCTGCTGCACAAATCCATACACACAGATGAAGAAAAACAATAAAAATTTTATACAGAAAATGATTTCACATCAACTAGCTATAAGGAAATCAAATTCAATTTGTGTTGCCCGTATGAATGCTTAGATACCTTCTCAAACTGTCGGGCTAAGACTTCAGTGGTGAAAAACAAAGGACTGGGGATAAGGAAGGACATTCCTCAGATGGTTGATAATCATGGAGGACATTTCCTCAGGAAATGGATTTTCCCAACTATGTGATCAGAATAGAGCTTTTAGCACCCACCAAACAGGTTCAATGGATTCAGCTATTCCAAAGGTGCCCCTATTCGAAAGAGCTGATTAAAGTATATTCCAACCCCTGCTGGAACAAATCTGTAAAAATATTTTCTGAGGGAAATTATTCTTCAAAACATTTCTATGTTTTTCCTTGGTGCATTGAATATATATACAGTTTGTTATCACATATTTAACTCTTGCCTTGTATTTTTATCTTCTACTTTATTTGGGGTAAAGATAGAATTATATCACTAAAATATGACCTGATCCCAGATGTCGTTTATTTAAATTTCAAAATGAAAAGCTTACAAAGACTAGGTAAGATTGATTGCGCTCTCTGTCTTAGCATAATTGTATTTCAGGTGAACATCAATTTACTTTAAAGGACACTTCTAAGTAGCAGAATGTGTCATAAATAATTCATCAATCACAGCTACTAGGAACATGATTTACTTCAGCAGATTCAATGAAATAAAAGTTTATTTTCTATATTTGTGTCTGCTTTAAAGAGTTTAATTTTCCTTTTCTAGTAATAGTCTCAGATTTCATAATAAAACTGTTTTCCCCTTCTTTTTTAATAAATTATATTTTCTAACTAAAATAAAAACATTTAAATAACTTTGGAACAAATAACAATCTCTGCATATCAACAGTAAAACAATAACAACATAAAAAATACATATCTGAAGAACAGCTTTAAAATTTTTCTCAAATTAATAATTCTAGTTAGGCTAACATAATTTGTCTTCACTTTTTATAAACTTTTAAGTGGAAGGAAAGGAAAGGAAGGCTTTCTGAAAATCTTATGTAGATTATTTAGGTTTGACATATTTGAAAATTACTTCAATTTAAAAATGCAAATTAAACACATTTTAAATTATACAGCATTGAAGTTTTGTCATGTGAATATTGTAGCCACAGCTTTCATTCGTCATGAGGAAAAATGTTGTTTACCTTACACATCCCAAAGTTTTCTATCAAATTCAGCAATTTTGTATTAGCAACTTCCAAATCTGTGTAAGATCCTTAAAATAAATATGTCAACAAGAAAAATGTAAAAGAAGATCTAAAAAAATAAACATTTTACTTACTTGCAAACCCCTCTGAAAAACTGAATGGCCCATAAAATTAGCCAGCATTCTAATCAAAGCAGCACCCTGTAGGAAAGAGTATAAAAAATAAAAGAATTTCAGCCAAGCACCATGGTTCTGTAACTATCCTATATCAGTCAAAACCAGTCTCCTTCATTTACACTATCCTATTTATAAAAACAGTTAAAGAACAAGAGAGTCATGAAAACAGTTCCCCACTTACAAATAACAATTCCTCTTTTCATTTTAAGCATCTGAAAGTTTTGTGGATGTAAAACCTACAATTGGAGGGAATATCTCCGGGCAATAATGTCCTGTAATTTAGGAGTGATCAACATTTCAGTAAGCACTGTCTATAACAAAGTTCAAAAACATAGTTCTTGTACTTAGAAGCTCATAATCTGGTGAGGAAAGGATACCCATATTAATAAAATATCACATTAAAATATAGCTTGAAGTAGCATTTTAGTAACATTTGCTGTACTACAGACTAAGTACTTTGAAGGACTTACTGAGTCCTTGGCATAACCAAGAACCTACGTTCAACTGTACAGGTGGGGAGTAGAGAGAACCAAACAGTCAAACTGATAGGGCTGGAATCTCGGCTACCCTACTTACCATGTTTATTTTACCCCCTAAAATCATATAACCTCTCTGTTCCTGAATTTTCTCTGTTGTGAAGTGCAGGTAACAATAGTTCTATTTAATGTTTTTCCAGTTAATACAGGCAAAGCAGTTTGAACTGTGTCTGAAAAACAGTAAGCACTAGAGGAATGTTCATTATCAGTAAGTATTATCACAAATCTGCTAATTATTGTTATTTCCTGTCTATTTCTTTTAGAATTAACCACATATATCCATATATAAATAAAAAATCTGTGATTGATATAAATATTTGGAATATTAGAAAGAGATACAATTTAAAGCTATCGACTTCATCTTCAGAATTATTACTATAACATTAAAGAATATTAGTGGCAAAGAGGCAGGCATGTTGCCAACATGAACCATTCCAGGTGATGAAGTCTGGATGATCACAAATCCATACATAAAACATAAATAAGCCTTCAAAAAGATACTTTAATCCATATCAAATCATTCTAATTATGGAGCAGTGGGTTGTAACGTGGCAAATATTTAAATATGAACACTAGCCTGGTTGCAGGGGAATATGAACACTAGCCTGGTTGCAGGGGATTCCTTTATTACTACACAGTCCTGTCACCATCATTACACATGTGCACACTGCAGTGGCTCATGGTTTATAAAATAGCTCCTTTACATGAGAATTATAAGAATCACATATAGACTCAGTTCAGAAATATAATTAATTTCCAGTTTGTTACTAGAATTGTTTCCTATAATTCTTTGACTTTAATGCAATATAATATTCAGGTCCCATGAATCACCACTAAAGAAGTGTCTCAAAAACGTTCCATCACCATCAAAATTACTCCCCCACTTGCTATGTAATTTTCATCTCAAAAAACACAGGCTACAGAACCATAGAGTTCTACACCGCCTCTGACAAGTTTCCTCTCACACCTTCTACTCTGGGCTTTTCCATTGCTTCTTCCTCTTTATCTTCTGCACACTTGTTTATGTCCACAAAACAGAAGCATTTATGATTCAATCTGGAAATTCCTTTAGAACATGTCAGCGCTGCTCCCTGAATTTCCTTGACAACCTCTCTTCCTGTACATTTCCAATCTAATCTACCACCCAGAGGGTGAAACTGTCAGTTTTACAGCAAAACTAACCCTTGTCACCTGGGGAGTGAGCCTGAGAATCCCAAGCAGTCATTTCAAACTTTCCTTCAGAGCAGAATAGCCCTCTTCAGATGATTAAGTGTTTTCCTCCAGGTAATGATGACTTGGTCTCTTGTGGAGCTATAAAAACTATCAATTTAGCATGATCTAATGACACAAGAGTCCTAATCATAAAGAATGTACCAGTTTTTCTCTCTGGGTTAAGATGTAACAGAGTGCTAATAAGAAAGAATACTGAGAAATACAATCGATATTCAAATGTTATGTAATATCACTTAACTCCAGATTATTACCATATTGCATAACACAATTGAATTTTAGAAAATATGTCCATATTACCCACTTGAACATTTTAATGTTCTCTAGAGTAGCATGCACTCTTCTATTTTTAACTAGACTTATCTTTCCAAAGCTCAATTTTTAAAGTCCTTATTTTACAGAACTTCATAGACAGATGGGCTGTCCAGCTGTCATCTTTTAACCAACACATACCAAGCACCTACTATGTATGGATCATACCAAAGCTCACAACTCTTAACATAGGCATTGCTCAATATAGACTTCTTAGAAAGAAAGAAAGACAGAAAGAAAGAAAGAGCAAGAGAAAGAAAGAAACTCTATCTCCTTTCATTATGTCTTTAAAATATTTGTTCACCAAGCAAATACTGTTTACAATATTGCTATGGATATCTATTGGTGATTTAAAATTCTAGCCCCAGTCAAACAAACTGGACATTTAGGAAGCCTGAGTAGCATTGCATCATGTAAATACACTATTTCTGCAAGGTTTTTAAAATCTTGAAATTAGACCAAGAAAAACCATCACTGTTCGCCAAACTATAAGGATCAGAGATATAATAGGATACTTAACTGATTTTTCTAAGGTTTTGTTAAAAAAAATCCACAGAAGTATGATTGTAAATCCATTCATCTTTTAGTAATGTTTACACTAGAAATATCTGGGTTGGAGGGAGCAAACATCTCCAGAGGGAAAACTGTGTGCTGGTGACTTGGTACCACCCTCTTGTGTGCGTGGTTCAGAGGAGGACCTCCCTCAATGTAACAAATGGATGAGAGATGATAGAAACTGTCTTCCCATACAGCAATTACTCTGAATTCTTGAAGAGTAGCTACTGTCCAGGATGTACAGCATATTATTCACAAGTGTACTTCACTGTGAATAACTAATCACTTTCAAAGAAAGAGAGATCTTCTCAACTAGATTATTCCTCGCATATATGCTTATTGAGTAAGGTGGTCTGTGCAGTATCCTGCAGATATAAACAGGAACACCACAAGTCTCCATCGTCAGGAAATCAAAACTTCATAAATGAGATGAGATGGAAAACAATATTGTGTTCCACAGAAGGAGAGTTTATATCTGAAAGTATGAAGAATAAAAGGATTTAAAGGAATGATATTTGTTTGGGTTCTTGAAGGATGGATGCAGTTCCATGAGCAGAGATGAACAGAACATACCTGCAGGGCATGGCAGGGACTGTCTTTGCACGGTCAGGTGGGTGTGAAAGTGAAAATCACAAGTAGGAAAGATGAGGTGAAAGGACGCAGGCACAGAGCAGAGACGGAGACTAGATGGGACACGAGAGTGAGGCAGTTGTTACAGAACTTTGAATACCTGAACGAAGGAATTTGCAAAAAGTGGTTTTTATGAAAGACAGAACTTAACTATGATACTTCATGGAAGACATATAATAATCAAAAACAAATAATGGTAATGAGGATAAAGGCTAGAGATAGATTTAAGGAATAGAGCAAAGATAAGTTTGAATTCTAAAGTCTGAGTAAGTAAAAGATAACATTAGCATATATATATATATTCTCTGTATATATACATTCATATATAATTTAGAAGAAAGTATTGATTAGAAGTATATGACAACATCTATTTGTAAATGTAGAGTTTGCAGAACAGGTAAAGAACCTGAGTTACAGAGGGAAAATGCAACCCATAGGAATGAAATCCAATGGACAATTATGATTGAAGCTATAAACTGGGATCTGGAGTGGGTAAGATTGCCAAGAGTGAAGGAAGTAGAACACAGAATCTTAGAATGTCTCTACAAATTATATGTGACTTGCACTTCAGTGCCCATAACAGGCATTCAAGAACTATCTGTTGAAATTTATTGAAGAAATATAATTAAAAACAAAGTATGACATATTATAATGTAAAGCAAAAGGCTAACCAAGAAATAGTATCATAAAAGACATATTTTCAGAATTAGAGCTTCAGATTTAAGGAAAGCAATAGCTAAGTTTAAGAGAGTTATATAAATAGACTGTGAATGTGAAAGCCAACTGAAAACAAGGTAAAAGTTAGGAAGGAATGGGAATACTAGAAGCAAGTTCACACAAAAGGTTTGTGTGTGAGTTTTTTAGAAAATGAGAAAAAATTTTGTAATGCAAAAAATGATTCACCAGAGACAGAGATTGAGGACAAAGTCAATCAAGGGATTGTTATTGATGAAGAAGATAATTTAGGTTAGTCTTGGTAAAAATTAAGGACAGTCTTCTCTGAGACAGGACTGAGGCAAAAAAAGGAAAATAGAGATAAATAATAGATTTTGAAGTACAAAGCACAGAGTTAAGGAAATACATTGCACAGAATAGACTATTGGCTCCATCAAGGGGGAGACTTAGTCTGCTGACTCAACATTGTTGACCCATTGCCAAAAAAAACAGTTGATTCCACAAAAATTACTGAGTGATTGATGACCTGTCTTTTCTCAGTAACATAGAAGCTATGGTCCCAAGATTTTATGAGTTGGGAAGAACTGGGTTTGAAGAAACTCAAATAAAAAAGAAACAGGGGACTCCAAACACTTAGAAATGTGTAGAAATTTGTATGTCCTAGATGAGGTTATTAATAATGTATCTGTCCTTTTCTAAGCAACTACTTGTACTACACACTATAGTCACAATATCATAAGGAAAATACACATATTACTATGTTTATTAGAGCATAAAATTAACACATAAAGTTTGTATAACTTGAAGAAATTGGCACAAATAATAAGTAATGAAGATTAGAAACCCTTCTATACTACTTAAAATCAGTAACCTTAATCAATTTAGGATACTTTCTTTTAATCTCAAATCAAAATAGTTACATGATTATCTCTATCAACACTGGGCATAGTAAGAATGTAGATAAATAAAATTTTGGCCAGGCAGTGAGTCATGCCTGTAATCCTAACACTCTAGAAGGCTACGGCAGATGGATTGCTTTTGCTCGAAAGTTCAAGACCACCCTGAGTGCAAGTGAGACTCCGTCTC